TTAGAGAAAATAAACTTTCTCAGTTAGAGGTGGAATTAGCTTTAGCTAACAGTAGGAAAGACTTGCTACAAAATACAAATGTTGAGACGGACATCTCAAACTGAAATATGGAAAATTTAATTAAAAATGTAAAAACATGAACGATTTCTGTACCTGCTAAAGCAGAATCCTTTAATCTCTTTTTCCAATCAATTGAAAGTGCTTTAATGGTATATGTGAAGGAAGAAGATATTAATAATTATGATTAACTAAAGTCCATAATTTTAAAGGAATTTCAGCCAACCCCTCAAGAGTGCTTAAATCATTCTTGTTCTACACAAAAATTGTCATGTGAAAACTTTTAAAATTTGCATCAAGGTTAAGTGCAAATTTATGTGATCTTATGGTTTCAGATAAAATATTCAGTGAACTTGATCGTGTATTAAAGTCCCATATAGCAGTTAAACAGGGAGAGACATGGTTTGAACTCCAAACTTCAAAAGATCAAGCTTCAAAACTGAAAATTTACATGGTCAAACTCCAATGGAATTTCACATTACACTGCATGAAATTTCTAGTGATCAGTAGTGGATTGTAGCATAACTCTCCATTAGATTACTAAGCTTTTGTGAAAGTTATGTCAGATATATATGATGAAGATTAGGAAGACCAAAAATATCAACAGATTAAACAAGTGTGATGCTGCACTAAGCAGCAGAAGAAATGGTTGAAAAATTTTAGAAGTACCAGATGGCAAAAGGCGAAGTGGCAGCTCTAATTTAGTGCAGTATTTGTGTCAAGCTAGAAGAAGTTTTGCCAAGCAACACAAAAGAAATATCACAAGCTAAAGCGATTTCACCACCATAAGTATGCTGTATTTATCTAGAAAACTAGCAGAAGTTTGAATCCATTTGATCACTTACTGTTTGATGCAACATTATTACTGAAATGAAGAATTGATAGCAATGTAGGATTTCAAGTTAATAACCAGTTATAATGATTTGAACCTTTACCTTATCTTCTTCTTTCTATAGCCCTCACTAGAGTGCAAATTAGTTGTTGAGTATTTAAGCCGAGAGTTTGAATTTTTTAAAGCTTCTGGCAGTCTTGCCTTGCAGTAATGTACTATCATCAGATCTGCTAACTTTTTACTTCATCTTGATAGCTAACATTTAAAGATGTGCTATTAATTACTTGAGCAAGCTTAAATAGTCTATTTAGTGTGTAGACTTAGACTACATTATCTAAATTAACTTTAACTTAATTTTAGGTTATTTTAAATATCTTCAAATAGAAGAGGTTCATTTGTAGCATAAATGGAGATTTCTGTTAATTTAAAAAATTAAATATAAAGGTTACTTTAACCTTTCTAAAACCCTGTTAGCTGAATTCAGGCTGGAGCAATAACTCTCTTATGAGTATAGTAAGGTCTGAAGAACAATCAATTAAATTTCTACCCTACAATAGTAGTACCCTACAATAAAGGTGAAACATTTATGTCTTGAATAATGGCAACTAACAAAATGCGAATTAAAATCTTTGACTACAACTGAAACCGTTGTCACTTCAGTGGAGATGTCTATTCTCCCCATGATCCCAAAAATTTCAAGATGCTCAATCACTACTGGTCAAAGATTATCAAGATATCTGCCTATGATTACCAAGGCTTTATTACAAAAGACAGAGTTTCAAGTGAAAGAAGTGTTAACTGCAGCATACTACTATGACCGATTGTAAAAACCGTGATGAAATTGCACAAAAATGACTTGACTTGCTTAGAGTTGGATAATTAATTTTGAAAGACACGCATAAGTCGTGACAAGTGTCCTAACCAAATATGAGAAACAAGGTTTACCTCACTTTCTTTCCCAAACTGAAAGAGCTCCTGCTCAGAAACCATTTTCCTCTTTGAAAGAGTAGTTAACCAAGCACCCAAGCCATTCAAGTACTGAATATGTAGTATCCCACAAACAACGCATATCTTCCAAGACATTGGATCACGACTGTGAAGCAAAAGGATTGTACAGAAGAAATGTAAGCAGAAACTGTCTGAAATAAAATTAAACTAAAAAATTATTAGACAGCATTACTTTTTAAGTACTTTTGTGTGTGTATATTTACTTTGTGTTACTCTAATGGCCAGAATCAGCTCTAAAAAGACATGGCCATGATAGCAATTAGCAGAACAGGAATTATTTACAATTTTCTTTATTACTCTGGCAATACACATGTGGTTGACAGTTTGAAATCAATGATCATATACATAATTTGAATGAAATGATTATATACACAATATAATTTGAATGAAATTATTATATATACATAATATAATCTGATAAATCAAGTTTGTCATAAATATAGAAAAGTGTCAATGTATGATTTATATTTTAAAATTCAATTATATTTTGAAAATTAAACTCTTGTTTGATGCAAGCAAATCACATTTAAGAGGCCAAAGGGCGACAAAATGCTTGAGAGCTGCAGTTTAGCCATGCCTGCTACATATCAAGATTATGCGTGCTTATAAATAAATATATCAAATTGTGCCAGATTAATATCTTAATATAATAATTGATAATTTTAACACAATTTTATAAGTAATGAATAATTATTCAAATTTCAGGTACTTTGTGCCTCATGGTTTTTTGCTTGTGGATCATATCAATAGTCTACAGCAGATACATTCTGTCTGCCAGTCAATCAGCCTACTGCTAGCACAGCAGTTGCTCATGCTATGTGGAAGGACGGTCCTTTTGAATTCTTGCAGTTTATTCTGCAAGTTTATTCTTATAGTTTATTCTTCAATACAAAGTTCAAATTTTGTAATACTATTGCAAATTTTTTTCACAATTACTTTAAGCACTACTGGTTGTGAGAAGAGTTTTCTTCGTAGAAATCATTTTAGAATAATAAGTGTTTATTTTCCACTTAAAAAGTATTTAAAAACTATAAATGTTTATGCATTCAAGAAATTTTTCTACAGAAATTTTTCATTACACAAATTGGAGCATCAAGTAAATTTACATGATGATATCAAGGGTTTGGGGTAGAGGAACAAGCAAAAATAATAATATAATGTTAAAATGTTGGAATGAAAATTGTCCTTCAAGAATTAACATAGAGTTTAAATTTATTTCATTATATAGTCATTTGTTTGTATAGCAAAAGGGGCATAAATTCATGGACCAAAAGCTCTAGCTATGCCATTGATCTGTCCACAGCTAAACAATGGGAGAAAAATAGCCCTAGAATAGAATTCTGATTGCTGCATACTTACTATGTTACTTGTGTGTACTATGATTGGTATAAAGCTCCTTGAAGCCTTGTCCCCTCTCAATACAGTCAAATGAACCCGACTACTTGCAGACCGATAAGCATGGAATGACTTTCTTGGTAAAGTTGGATGCAGAAAATGATTCTAGTTTTTTTTTTTTTTTATTTTTTTTTGAGTCAATATTTGTTTATGCTGAAGTAGGTAAGGTCTAGCCATCAAAGAATAAGCATTTTAGTTTGCCAAATAAATACTTTTTGGCAGCATCGTGAGTAGATATATAACTAATTTGGTGACACACAGCTTTACCTCGTGAATACTTTTTCTATGACAATTTAGTGGAGATGCAGATAATCAGAAAGTGCCAAAATACATATGTAGAATTAGCTTTCCTAAGTTAAAATCCCTTTGAAAATTATATAATCTTTAAAGTAATATTTTGTGACAAGCATATATTTCATATATTTTATCTTGAACAAAAACAATTTTAAACTGAAATTGAAACAAAAAGTGTTTAAACAGATACTGTTTGAATTATGGTAGAAGAAAACAAACTAGGTAAAAAGAAAAGAATTTGAATTTTGAAAAAAATGTGTAAACAAAGAATTGAGTACATATATAACTCCATTTATAACTCCATATCCACTACACTTCCAGGATATAACAAAAATATAACAGCGAAAATAAAGAATTAAGTGTAAAGAAATTTTATAGTTTATAGATTTGTTATATGATGTGATGTAACTGTATAAGATGTGGAGTTCGATTTTGTTACATATTTTGTAACATTCTGCGGGAATAATATATTTCAGGGCAAAAATTGGCGATTTTTTTTGGTGCCATTCTTGTTTACATGCAAAGTCCTCCGAAGTAAAATAGTATCCTAAACATAATGCAATAAAACATAATTCAAACAAAAAAATTATAATCTCAATAAACTGCACTTTAAAACAAAATAAAACAAGGAAATATATATTATCTAATCTATACAGTATGAAAGGAAATATCGACTTAATCTTGTTTAGAAATTTCTGTGTCTTCAGTGTGTCATATGTAGAATTCCTTAACAGCATCCAAAAACTGTTTAAAATTATCTGAACTAGAATCTGTATACTGCTGCCACCACATAAATTCACAAAAGTAAAAATCAAAAATACCTCCCCTACAGCCAGACGTTGGTGGCATTTCTTTCAAAAATCCCTTTTTATTAGACCCCACATACCTTCCATAGTGCTGATATGAGCTCCGAATTCCAAATCCTTAAATCTCACTGCATAATTTACCGAGAGGTGAATGAAGCCATTTAAATCTTCACTTACACACCAGTCAATCAAAGTTTTCTTTGCCATTCAATCCGAAGCGTACAGAAACTTCAGGATCATACTACCAGGAGGCATTTTATTGTGTAAAGTATAAAATAAGCAACGTACTTCCTAATCAACATCCAATGCTTAAATAAGCACGCATTACAACCAGTCATGTCATAATAGGGTTTCCAAAATATTTAACGTAAAAATGCTCAACTTACCATAAATGAAACACAACTTGGTGATAATCCAAGGGGTACCCTAAAATACAGACTGCCCCATTCTGTTACGGGAGAAAATGTTTGACTTCCTGTTATTTTATACAAAGTAAACAAAAGTATACAAAGGGTAATCAAATTTTCATTTATAAATGCTTTTTATCATTAATACAACTAACTTTTCAATGATATGAATAATAAACTTCAAAATAAGTTATTACTCACTCTGCACATTTTTTCCATTTGAGAAAACGGTCTCTTTTGCTGCTGATATCATGTACATCTTCTTCAATATGATATTCTGGTACTTTAAACTTTTTCCCCTGCCTTGATGCATGAACCTAAAAGTATGAACAAATTTTGAAACAAAGTAAAAGAATTAAATATTTATTTTAAATAATTACCTTAATTATTTAAAGTAAATAACAAGACAAAAATAAGTAAATATGCATAACTGAAGCCATTTTGATAACTATTGTCATCTATTAGAATGTCATTAAAAGTTTTGCAGTTATATTTAATATGCTACTTTATATGATTTAAGTTTAAGGATATAATTTGAATGGAAACACTTTACACTCATCTTTCATTAACACAATAGCTAGTATTTTTTTAAAAGAAACCCAGGGTTAGTTTTGAAGGAACATATCATCAGGATGAATCATTATTTTTAGAAATAAAATACCAGAATTATTCACTCAAAACATATCCATTATATGAAATTACAATTTAATAGTCTATAATGAATTTAATATATAAAAGATAAATTATAAAATTTTTAAAACAAATGTTATATAGAAAAATATTTTGCCATACAGTATGTATGCCATAAATTTATATAAATATACACTGTAAGGAATTAAAAGTATTTCTTTCGTAACATTGTGGATTTTGTACAGATGTAAATAACTTTAGTGAAACTGTAGTATTTTTGCATATTGTAACATGAAATGCTTATAAGAGATGATGCTCTGCCAAGAAAAACAAAATTGCAGGGGGCAAATCCATTTAGCATTGGGTATATGGCTATCTCGCTAAATTGGCAAGATATTGCCAAGCTGGCAATGGTTTTGGCAATATTTTGGTCCAGTTCCTGTATAACTACAATTAGTATTAAATGTAATTGATCTCTATATGTAACTCTATATGTAGGAATTAAAAGTATTTCTTTCGTAACATTGTGGATTTTGTACAGATGTAAATAACTTTAGTGAAACTGTAGTATTTTTGCATATTGTAACATGAAATGCTTATAAGAGATGATGCTCTGCCAAGAAAAACAAAATTGCAGGGGGCAAATCCATTTAGCATTGGGTATATGGCTATCTCGCTAAATTTGGCAAGATATTGCCAAGCTGGCGATGGTTTTGGCAATATTTTGGTCCAGTTCCTGTATAACTACAATTAGTATTAAATGTAATTGATCTCTATATGTAACTATGAACATATATACTATGCTTTCCTGTAATTTCAAAAAATAGAAGATACTAGAAATTTCCCAGCAGCCGGGAGAAAACTTCATATAACTCAGAGAAAGCATCAGTTCTCAGTTGTTTAGTTTAGTGTGAATTTGGAGTATTGAGATATCTCCACGTGAGCTTTGCTCTTCAGATGCATTTTGCATTGCATTGTGTTTAACGTTCTTAGTAGTTTGAAGTGTAACTACTGATTGTACTCTACGATTGTACTGATTGTACAAGTATTTTTGAGGAAAGTTTCAGAACTGTAAAGTGTTTCTTTTGGTAAAATAAATTTTATCCAGTTATCATTGTTTCTATCAGCATTCAATCTATTATGAAGCTATACACACACAACATGTTCTTGGAGTATTGTAATTAACACATCCAGTTTCTGGCTTGTCAAGAAGTTTTCTCTTTTGGAATGTCCTAAATTCAATTTCTGGCCAAACCGAGATTAATTTTTCAAGGTTCCCATTCACAAAGAAACCTAGACTCTACCCCAACACCCAAATTCAAACAAAATGGACAAAAACTTATCACTGCTTTGGATTTCGTGATTATGTCTTGTCTCCTTTTAAATGGATGGACATTAGAAATCAAAGGCATTTCTCTCAAATTTCCTAGTGATGCACATTTAGCACATTCAGTTAGCAACTAGGTCTCAGATTTCCTTCCCAATAAAGTCCTAATCCTTCTGAAAAATCTTTCAAGATTCCTGATCATAAACTTAACAATTATACAACTTAAATATTTTACAATGAGTTATAACTTTTCATACGCAAATGATTTATTTTTGGCAAGTTATTTGCACCTATGATACATACAAAAATTATCAGTAATGCAAAAACAACAAAGTATTATAATAAGTACTGTAATAACCATTGATTTCATGCATAAACACATTTGCTATCTTCAAATGCAATTGGCGTTAAGCAAAGGTTTACTTTTCCATTTTAGTTGATTTTATTGTTACGTGCTTAACTTTTGGAAGCCAGTGCATAACCTAATGCTCGTAAAAGGTAAAAGACAAATCCTTTGTCCTAATATATTTCCGCACAATATTTATTAAAAATTTCGATTTTTCAACATGAATGCATATTTGCTATGTTTTCTGCAAAGCAGTATTTACATATTCTACTTTTACAAATCTTTGAAAACTTACTTTTACAAACGGTACTTTTCTTTTAAACCTATACCATTTATTTTCAGCATCATATTGCTGCAATTTAACTTATTTCTCCCTTTCCCCTTCAAAGTTTTTGTCTTGATATTAGTTGAATTGGAATAATCATAAACAGCAGTACAGAAAATTTTTCTAATTTCAAAACAAAATCTTCTAAAACCCCATTGTATGAGTAAGAATGTTTTTTCACAATTTTGTTGCGTACATTGATTTTAGCATTAGAATGAGACAACAAAGGACATATAACCTCTGTAGCAGTTAAACTGAAACATCAATTTTCATTTTCTTATGTATGTATGCATATTTTTAAATATATATATTTATGTTTGTAATATTGTTTGCAATTTTAGTTGGTGCCAAGGCTAAATAAATTTTTTCAGTTGTTCAGAAAGAGAACAACAAAAACAGAAGAACCAAAGCATTCAAATAAAATGTATTATTACTGAAGTTCTCTTTTTGAAGTTTCTGTTTCTTAAGTAAGAAAGTATGCAATTACCATCAGCAGCAGCTACACCTTCTCTTACATAATTATTTCTACCAACCATAATGTGGTGATTCATCTGAAACAAGCTTTAGCTAATAAAACTCAATAAATGTTAACTCTTGACACTATAAGGAAATGAATGATACAACAGCAATGAAAGGAATGTGCAATCTAAAAACCGTTTGCTTTTGGATACATTTTTCTTTCAGGCATGACCGAAGGCTGCATAGCCATTTCAGTTTTGAATCACATTTTAATTTCATGAGGTTTCTATTCAGACACAATCCTTTTCTGTGTTTCAATATCTCTTTTCTTGAAGAAACAAAATAGTCACTTTTTCATCTCTTGGTACATCCTAAGTTGTAGAATCCATTGCAGTATAAAGGGGGGGGGGAAGAAAAATAAAGAAAGAAACCGATTTAATTAAAAGCATGGTTGTATGAAAAATTAAAATTAAAGACATTTATCACTAAGAAGGAAGCTAAGTCAAATTTGCTACATCTGGTATCAAGGAAATATAGCAAAATAAAAAAGCAGCAAGTACAGAAAGTAAGCATAATAAGCTAAGTAAGTACACCAAATACAATAAGCTTTAACAAAATTTTTTTTTTTTTTTTTTTTTTTTTTTTTTTTTTTTTTTATATCACCACCCTTTCCTTGACTGGAAGGGTGCAACTTACTAAAATGGAAGAGGGGATCATAAGGAAAAAAAATAAAAAATCTGAAAGGGTTCTGATTTTAATATTCATCTAAAAGTGTTTCTTTTTAAAGTTTAATATGGGTTATCAGCAGAGATTATCAAGAGAGATCAGTCAATAGTGAAACATTTTTAGTATAATAGATGAATATGCATTTATACTAACATTGTGGCATTACATATCTTCTGCATACCTAAAAAATATGTAATGTAATTCTATAAAAATATTTAATGTTTTTAATTAGATATATCATGAATTAAATGTATTTTTTATTTAAATCAATCAGATTAAAAAGTAAAATAATATTTTTAAAAGCTACATCTACTGCTCTTAATAATTTAGTTTATTAATTTATAACACACAGATTAAATGTGAAAAAGTAATATCTTACATTTTTACTGAACTCCAGCAGACTCAAATGAAAAGTGAAACAATGCAAAATTGTAGTTTCAGATTAATGGCTAAAAATAATAATTTGTCATGGAAAAAATTTTTCAGATTACATACTTTTTTAGCTTCTGATGGATAACTGTGAAGTCCTTTAAAAATGCTGGGAACAGCATCTTCTCTAAGCAATACCCTTTTACAAGCATAAGTTCGATTGAAGTCATTCTCTTTGAAATGCTCAGAACACACATAGCTATTCTTTGTAGGAATCCAGTCTTTTCTCCGTATGGCTCGTATCCAAGATGCTTTTAAAACTGGATCTTTAGGAATTCTACAGTGATGAAACAACTATACTGATAGCAGAGAGGATAACATTACTTGTTTGGAAAGTAACAATGTTGTTACGTTCAAGTAACAACATTGCACATTCCATAAGACATTTCACTTGACATCATCATAAAAATTAAATTATAATAATGAGAATTATTCTTAATTTTTAAAAACAAAAATTACACAAAACTGAAATATCTTACATCTGCTTTAATACTAATTAAAGAAAACATTTGATTTCAACACTAATGAGATATATGAATATATTCTTATGCAGGAAAGTATTTTGAATTACACAGTGAACCTACATTATATTATACTCTGAAAACCTTCACAATGCTTCTAAAACTTTCAGTTTTTCTTACTGCATGTAATTACAGTATGTATCAAACCCTAATACATGAAATTTCCGAAGTCAAATATTGATTTTACATAAATAGGGCAATTAAATTAACTGTATTCTGACCCAAACTAATAATTAATCAGATTTTTCTACAATAAGTTTCCTGAAATCAATAAACTTAATATTATCTGTATTCAGATTGTCTACCAGGTCAAGTGAATATGACCATTTAATACTGCAAGTTTGATCAAAGATCCCCAAAACCCCAAAGACGGACTGGCTGTATGTGTTTTCATTGCTTTCCCTGTGTGTAATATGAATATAAATATTTTCTTTTAGAAAGGCATCAACAAAATCATCCCTTTCCTTAGTCCTTGTCAGCTTTGCCTCAATCACTTGATCAACTGTATTCAGAAAATTACAGTGCACATTTGGGGAGTCAGATAAAACATTAAATCTAAAAGTGATATGTGGAAATTTAGCTTAAAGTAATGAAACATTTTGTTGTAATCTCATCACTCTGATAAAATCTTTAAAAGTGTGTAACACTAATTCGCAAAAATGAAAAAGACTTAAGAAAGATTAACATATCCATCTGTAAATGTGCCTAAATTTTTCTCAAAATATGCATTTTGAATTTACTTGATTACTTCCTTCAACTCTATAATTATATCAACTCCACTGAAAACAGAAGTACCTAGTTGGTCACCTTCTCTTCAGTAAGGTTTTAAAACAAATGTTGGTAATTAGATTTGTTTTCCATTCTTCAGCAAAAACATTTATCAAATCATCATTAATTTAATTTTGTCCTAAAAACCATTTAAAGTTACGTTCAAGTAACAACAGAAAAAGAAAAGCCCTGATTTCTCTTGTACACCAGGCTTGAACAATGAAACACATACCCTTTGTTCTCAAAACATTCAATCTTTTATCACTAAGTAATATAGATTCTGTTTATCTTGAAGGCTGTTTTCAAAATTCCATTGTAAATATAAATATATGCATATACATTTTAATTTTATACAGTATTTTAGATTATTAACAATGAGAGATTTTTAAACTAAATTTCCTTCTAAACAAAATAAACTGCTATTATCTTGCCTGTGCTTGGTACAAGTGGTGTAGCAAGGGGGTGTATGATGCCCCGGATGCCGCTTACAGAGGGGCACCAAATGATCTTCAAACAAGATTTTCATCATATTAGTGTTTTTTTTTGGGGGGGGAGCCAAAAAGGTATTTTGCCCCGGGCGCCAGTTATGCTTGCTACTCCACTGCTTGGTACAATTTTAAAGTGAATGAGATGTTTTATAAGTTTTCATTAACTGTATTAGAAAGAAATTTTAAGGTAATCTGATTCTATTTGGTTAACAATAAGCTTTTTTTTTTTTTGTGTGTGTGTGTGTGTGTATTAACAGAAGCTTATTTTGAAATAGCTTATAAATAAGAAAACTGTCAGCTTTCCTCAAATATATTTTAAATCAAAAAAAAAAAAAAAAAAAAAAAAAAAAAAAATTCATTTCCCCCCCCCCAAAAAAAATCATTTCAAATCAGAATAGCTTTAATTTTAATAATTTAGTACTGCAAACAAACAGCATTAATTTACATATAAAACTCAAATAACTGAAATATTTCAAGAAATTTACTTCTTTTCCTAGAAAAGTAACTAAACAGTTTAAGTTAGGTTATCTGAATATGGCAAAGCCACTTTTGGGCCTAAGAGGAGGGATATCTTCATGGAGAAATTTCTGAGGAAAACTGGCTCATATTCATGTTACATACAGGGAAAACCATAGAATGCAGCTAGCCCCTTCACCAGGGCTTGAATCCAAACCAGGTCAAACTACTAGCATTCAGTGATTTTAAGAAATCAGCTACTGGTGGGCATATAAAGCAGATATGAAATTTATAAAGCTATCTTAAAGCATGTACAAGGTCCTCCTGCCAACAGTGTAATTTAGTTCCAATAATGGATAAGTGTGACTTCACAATACAATATATGGCCTTTTTCACCTTGGTTTTATTAAGGCTTAATTTGAGAAAGTTGGCACATCCTGTCATTTCTAAGCCAAAGATCCTCAGACTTTTGGAAGTCTTGATATCAGACACAACTTTCTCAAACTTTTCTGATAGCCACACCTGTCACTTCACCTTTCATTATTTATCTCTCAATATTAAATCTAAGTAATAGAGTTAGTTGTTATATAATGCTAATTTAAAATTAAAAAATATTTATGATTTTATACTTATTTTATTAAGAACAATAGTTTGAATTTTGCAAAATATACGTTGACACTCTCAAAGGGGTTAGGAGATCAAACTCTAGCAACACCTACTTTTATTTCTAAACCAGAGTCATAGCTAGGGTTTTCAGCGCCCAGGGAGAACTGAAGATTTCGCACCCCCTACTGCTTGCCAAGGATGGAAAACATTTAATTCTAAACTGTTGTAACATCAGTTTGGCACCCCTTGGATTCTGCGCCTGGGGACAGATGCCCCCCCTAGCTACGCCCCTGTTCTAAACCCTGCCTACTAACTGACATATACTGCATTGTGTGAAACATTTATAACAAATGAATCCAAAACTGTTGATGATGCTTGATTTCAAGCTTGATGTTAACTTAATTTCTTTAACCATGTAGGTAAATTTGTAACAAAGAATAAGAATGAAATCAAATTATTATATTTCAAATAGCTTGTATTTTGTTTAATTATTAATATCTCTTCTTTTTGTGCAAAAAGTTTTATTGCTTTTTTTTTAGCATATTACAGCTGCAGCTTACCATTATAAAAGCAAAGTTAATAGAAAATCTTCACATAAAATCAACATAAATTAATTTTAAATTCTTTAATGTTACACACCATATACTGAGATTCCACAAAATTTGCTATTTACAGTATCATACACATACAGCATGTTCTATAATTTTAGATTAGGCTTTCGATAATCATGTTGATAATAAATATGATGAACTGTTATCATATATGTGACATACCACTTTTGGTTAGTTATTTATTTTTTAGATGACGGTACTCAAATTAACTGTTGTTTTGAACATAAGACTTTTCCACCTCCCTGCCACTTTATCACATGCTGAGATTTAAAAATAGCATTTTAGTAGTGCCATCTAACAAGTAAATACCTAGCTAAAAGCATTAAATTGCATACTACATGATATGCAATAAAATTTTGATATTTCCGATCAGAAATTTTTTCTTTGGTGTATTTGGCTTCTCTACCATGAGTTGCATTTTTCATACACTCAGCTACCTAAAATTTTTACTTATCCGCCATTTGACATTTCCCACATTCCCGGACAGTCGAGCTTTTACAGTAATATACTTTATATGCAGTATTCACGCATTAAAAATCAAATCTCGGATTTTTTTTTTTTCTTTTTTTCTACTAACCTGTGAAACGTTAATTTAGTACCATGAATACGCCTATTAGTACAACCATATGCCGAACAAGTTACCACCATTGCTAAATTTAGGAAATAACCAAGGTTCTTTAATATACTAAGGTTAGGCCAGGAACGGAAAAAGCGTGCCATTGGTTGCTGGTAGTGACGTCACCCGGGAGACAAGACGCATCGGCCGACGCGTCTGCTACATGATTTTGGTAATGGAAAAAATGTAAACTAAAGCAAAATGATCATTTTATATGTGGTAGATACACCGGAAATACCGGGTATATACTTTCCGATTAAGTATTTTGTTAAAGAAAATGTTTATTTTATGCACAGAATTCGTACGAATGCTGAAAATAATTGTAAACATTAAATTCTTTTCGTAAAGGAAAGCATTAGAAAATGAAAAACGATATTTAAGTTAATTAAGGGAAATAAATATTGTAAAACAAGGTATTTTTCAATATTTTTTTCGTAGTATTGTTTTGCACTAATAAATCTATTTGAACAGAACACATGATGGCATAAACTGCTAAGACCATGGTAAAAACATAATCAAAAAGTATTATTCCTATTTATTTTCATTGCTCCATGCACTTTTTTTTTAATACCAATGAACTTTGACATTCCATGAGAAATATATGATCGTGAATTTTCAGTTTAAATTACATATCTCAAGCAAAAATATATATAAAAAGATTTGAAATCAACAAATTCATATTTAAATACTCATAAAATTCTACAAATTTCTTAATATCACGTCATTATACTTTTAAATAGATACTTATCACATTCTTTTTAAAGTGAAAAGTCACTTATACTGATTCACTTCAGATTTCAGCAGAAGTGCATATATTTTCAGTATAATCTAAAAGCACTCTTATAATCCCTTACACTCCTAAGATTTCAAGATTTTATCTATTTCTATATAATATTTATCCTGGCGTGATTTGCTATAGCAAATAATCTTCGATTTTCAAATGATTTTCGATATTCTTCCCTCCACACCCTATTCTTCCCTCCCTAAAAATAAAAATGGAATAATTAAAATACATTTTCTTACACATATACGCACAATATAATAATAATAAACTTGCCCTAATCTTAGTTTCGGCCCACCAGCGGCCGAGCGGTAAAGTCGCTGAACACTGGTAGTTCGGTCCGATCCCGCGAACGGGTTGGCTGCATGGGTGTTTTATGGTTTTCCTCATGCGTATTATACGAGCCAGTTTCCCTGAGAAAGTCCTCCAAGAAGGCATACACCTATTATGCAGATAGCCCTAATGTGCTTTGCCATAATTAAATACACCACCCACATTTAATTTCAATTCAGCCTGTAACAAATTAAATATTTTTAATTACTAATGTATTTTTATCAGGTTATTTTCTTAAAATACTTTTGTTATACTCAATATAGTGTTCAGATATTTAATTATTTTTCTTTCTCTTATAATTAAAAACAAATTATATGGAATCAAAATTAAAACATATGCAACAGTTAAATGACAACTGAAGAGAATATCTTACTTAATCTATTCGCTATTTATATTCCCAGCACAATACACAGATTTGTTTTCCTTCAGGTTCAAGCATGTGTAAGTTATATCAATTAAATTACATCACACATACCTGTATGCATCAGTTAAATAACACTGAAGGAAATATGTCACTCACTCATTCGATGTTTGCATCATAGTGTGGTCGAGAAATTGTTCTTTCCTCACGGTGAGGCATGTACAGTTTACTTAGTTCGCAAAGCTTAACCCAGACGCTGCTTCAATACATAGAATTACGTTTGGGATGTAAAGAAAGTAACCAAAACATGTGAATGAAGTTGGATACGCGAATTTATTAACTAATCATTCAGGTACTCATATTGGTAAACATGACACTGAGTTTTAAATATCTCACTACGATGTAAGTCTCATACACAAAATGAAGATTATGATAAAAAATGATTTAAAATGAGAAATTTTTTCAATTTAAATGTAAAATAGCAGTAAATGAAAAATAAATGTAAAATTACATCACATTTATGTATGAAAATTACATAAATTCATTAAAAAAATAGTTATTTATCTGGTTGTAAGAGTGTTTTCCACCAAAAAACGTATTAACGTGTATAATTCTGACACAACGCTAATAGCACAATTTGCCACTTCCGCCTAGGTATAATAGCAAATTAACAACACAAATCAAATCAAACTGTTGATGCAACGAAAGTAAACAAACGCCAAGAACTAACGCTGTCACCCACATGACGTCATGCGCATGTGGCATAACTTTCTTCCTGCACTGCGCATCGCTCTTGGGCCCCCCCCTGGAAATAACAAATTTTCAATGAAGATACTAAAATTCAAGAAGGTTAGAATAGAAGGAGGGAGGGTTCGCAGTTTCCTCCACTATCGGGGAATGAAACTCCACGGAATAAGCGGCGTCCATGTTTGTTACTTCAAAACATTGCAATACGGTAGTGAAACGTACGTATTTGTAAGCTGTTCTATGCATGAATTTTCCAGTAAAAATATGTTAAATTTATAATGAAATGCTTCGCTATTGTTAGTTTTTTGTTTTAAAGTTATAAAGATGATATCTGTAATTTACTAAGTACAGAAAATCATTAAGAAATATTTCGAAATCTAAATGCATGTGCATAACATTAAAGCCTTTACAAAATTATGTTTCTGCATAATTTCAAGAATTTGTTTAGGTTTTATTAGCAACTTCTCTGGTATACTTTCCAATTGTTTCTTTAAGAAGTGATATTTCTGATTTATTCGCAATATTATTATAATTTATGAAAGAATCATTTTTACCTGAAGTTAATAATGTTGCTTTTTTTTTAAATGAAAGTTTTAAATAGATTCTTTTCACAATCAACACCCTTATATCAACAAGAAAATAAATATTAATAAAATAAAACAGATTTATGTGAATTCAATGATTTCAGTTTATGCGCATTTCATATTTATGAATCTCAAAGAAATTACCTTGAATTAAGCTGAATTACAGAAATATACCTATATAAATTTTTGGATATATCTTTTCACATGTTCAATTGTGTAAATATTTTACTTACGTTTATCGCTATACTGCCCAGAAATTTGTAAGCTTATGCAAAAACATTTTAACAACAGAACAGTTTATCTTGATCAAATGCACAAATTATATTCGTAACAGTTCACAAAACTTAAGAATGAATAATAATTAATACATAAAGAAAAGCGTTGCTTTATTTAACACCTTTACAATTCATAAAAATAGTAACAATTGATTTCTTACTTTTCATGAAAATTATAAAACGAATTATCTAAGCGTTCAAATTATACAGCAAGCATATAATCCTAGCATATATCATTGTATGTTAAGGAACGAAGATACCAGCTGTAAGCAAAAGCATTAAAATGTATTGTATTTAACATGTTTAGATTATTATTAAGTCTTTTTTGTCACATCTGGAAAGAAAACAACATGGCATTGTGACATTTTTTTAACATATTTATGAAATTACAAAAAAAAAAAAAAAAAAAAAAAAAAAAAAAAAAAAAGAAAATACTTACGAGTGAACAGTAATCCCAGGAATATTTTTCGAAAATCTATTTGTGCATCCATATGCAATATAAGCAGACATGCTTCAAAAAGAAAAGGAAAAAAAAAAATGTTACAATTACAGACTTCCTTGCACAAGTCACAGTGATAACAGTAACATGGCCGTCAAGCTTCACCGTTTGAGTTGAACCACGGAGTATAATACCACGGAGTTTATACTCCGTGAGTTGAACCTTCCCTCCTTCTATTCTAACCTCCTTGCTAAAATTAATGCAAAACAGAATCTCTTTATATCTTTGCGCCCGAAGATGGAGAAAAATATAATGTTTAAAAGGTGAGGAATGGATAGTTAGTACGTCATTTTTTCGAATAAGGTTCGGAGAACAGCCTTGGTTGCACCAACTTGGCTCCTTTAAGGATATGGGTGACATTTTATTATGCCAACGGAAGTAAATATCATGTGGGGAATAGGTGCGAAGGAGAAAAGGAAAATACATGGAGAAAAACGGGATTAAGATGTGTTTATATATTTGTTTGGCATCTGATTCCTAATTTTGTTCTGTTATGTTGCTAATTTAACATTAAAAGTCAAGTAATGTGCGTCTATTGCGAAAACGCAGGGCAATTACTTTTCGATCCGATTTTATACATATATCACATTCCTGCTCATATGATCTACATATATATCAGATAACTAGCTACTTTTGACACTTATTTCTGGATGTGTATTATTTTATAACACTTTGAAAACCCAAGTATTGAAACATTATGTGTATGCTTGTGAAAATATTATTTCAGATATTCTCGTATAACTAACTATAGTATAATCTCATATTATTCACTTCTCATATAACTACGATAGAAATATGCTTCTATTATTTACTTTAAAATGCAGTATTTGATAGCCTTCCACATAGTAGCCATTCTAGAATTAGTTCTGTAATGTTATATAATGTTAATTGTCTTATGCATTATTTTGTCTAAATATTCATTTTCATAAAGAATATATAATCAATGTAGAGAATGCGAATTCAATATATTTTAAAGACAGAGATAATAAACAAAAAATAAAAGGGAGACTACACATGAATTTAGAAAATACAGACGTGATTATTGAAGAAACGTTTTTAGTATTTTGTCTTGCAACAGATACGACAGACATTAACGTTCTTATTTTAGAGACTTTAGAGAAAAATGGTTTAGACATTAGTAGCTTACGTGGCCAAGGAAATGACATTGGTTTAAAAATAAGAGGTAAACAATTTTCGAGTAATTAAGCTTAAATCGTTGTTTTTCTTAATTAAATATTTAATCTAAGTTTAACATAATATGTAACTGTGCTTACTTTTTGTTATGTAAAATAACAGTAGCAACAAGCAATCAGTAAAAGAAAATCACAAAACAGATAAATGTTGCACAAATTACTACAATTGCAAGAGTAGACACAAAATAAGGATTAAGCAATTTATCGAACATGTCTACGGTGCCGTCGTCTACTCTTACATACGCATCGACATCTCTTAGCAAGTCGATTAAAACATAAGAGAACATCAGAGACGAACTTCTGCCTGGTTATAACCTTT